CTTTGGAGGTGTACGGCCGCAACTCTCCGCGAAGTACCTCGATGAGGAAGGGGCTGCCCTGGATCGGCTCCCAGGTTTCAACTCCTGCTTCTTGCACTTTGAGGCGGATGTCCATGGTTGTCAGACCAGCTTTGCAAAGGAGGTAGTCGACGGTGTAGCTGCCATCTCCGTTGTCGAAAATGTCGATGTAGTCCTCTGCGGGGACATGGGCGGAGTACGTCTCGTTGAGGGCCGGCGCCTGGTGCATTGCCGGGCTGCTCAACGTGAAGGTCGCGCCGCCCTCAAAGTACTGAACCTCATAGGAGTCCTTGGCACTGATCTCAAAGGTCGTGTTCACGCCTGCGATGATCTGCGCGGGGCTTGTTGGAGATCCTACAGGACTGATGCCCGGGCCGATTGCAGTGGAGAGCGCTGCACTGATATCATCCCATATCAAGATGCCTTTGTACGGAGACCCAACTAGTCTCGACTCGCGGATCTCGACACCGTTCAAGAAGATCCGCATGTTGTAAAGCCCAGGCCTCTGGATCTCAAACCTTACGGTGTATGAGCCATTGAAGTTGTCGATCACATTGCCCCGAAACTGATCTTCGACGCCCAGAGGGTCGTGCAAAGGGCCCTCGAAGTAAACTTCGTAGTTGTCGCCACCAGTAACACGCAGCCGACCTGCTAATGTAGCCGAACGAAGCTGGAACCAGACAGGCTCGCCCGCCTGTGCAGGTGTGTAGTCACCTGCTTCCACGAAAGATCGGTCTTCGTCAGATACAGCTAGCAAAATCTCTACCGACATCGGCGAGTTCTGGATTTGACTTCCATCCAGCAAAACAATCAACTGCCGATAGTAGCGTCCGGTGCTGACATCATCGTTGTAAATCGGGTCCGGGGGGAGCGGAGTCCAAGCAGCTGAGTAGTACCCTTGAGCACTCCAACGCACGGGCAAGTCCATCTCCTTCACTCCCTGCAAAGTGTACAACCGGGCACTCAGACTGCGCAGCATGCCGCCTCCCACCACGGGCTGTCCCAGAATGTCCCTGAGGTCAATCCGCACCTCAGCCGGACTGTCTACAATGACAGACATCGTAAGTGTGTTGTAGGGCAGTGCCAAGACAGTTGAAAAGTCCGGCCGCGCGTTGCCGCTGATGGCTTGAAAGTCCTCGAAGGGGCTGCCTTGGATGTTGAGCCCGCTCGAGAGCAAGCAGCCTTGCTTGATGGGCCACCAGCCCCAGTAGTCTGTGTCGTTCTGATGATAAAGCATGATCTCGATTGAAGTGTGTTTTTTCTCCTCCATGTCATCCACCATGGGCGTGCTCCACTCGATTTCGAAGGCGTAGAACCCAAAAGGATCTACCACAGGATCGTGAAACAGCAGGTCGATGCAAATGAAGAAGGGCACTTCTTGCATGCAGTCCTCACGGATCATCTCCTCGCGCTTACGGGGCACCACATCATCCGGAATTCGTTTCGTGACTGAGCCATCATTCCAGAAGAATGCTCGCACCTCACTGCCTGGAGATGCGATAATGCCAAGCGCATGCCCGAAGTTGAAGGGCCAACGTTCCGTTCGGATGCAGGCAAAGTGCAAAATGAATTTCCATCTCACGAAGGCCGGTGCCGTAGCCACATCTGGAAACCAAAAGTTCAAGGTGTGGTCGACCCGGCTGATGTCAGGCTGCTGAGGAGAATTCCGGTGGATGTTCCGGTGCCACCAATATTCCGCAAACATTCCAGCCACGGGCTTCTCGATTTGCAACTTGTAGATGCCGGCCAAGGTTGGAATGAAGCGGCCGGCATAGGTTCCTACCAAGTTTGTCGGGGTGGCTGTGGTGATTGTACCCACGGACTCCTCGTTACCCTCCCCTCTCGGCAGGTACTTGATGATGAAATGTGGATCCGGCCGGATGGAGGTGGGCGGAGTGATCGGCTGGTCATCGAAGGTGCGGGCCTGGATGAGCACATTGCGTGCATCACCCACCAAGGTCTTGGACTGCCACTGCCGACAGTCACCCTGGCACCAGGTGTTGATAGCGGTCGCTTCGACGTGATCCCAGATGTAGATCCGAGCAATGCTCAGGACATCCTGCCTGTCCAGCACCGGGGCACGGTAGACATTCTGTGGCATCATCCATGCCTGCTCTGTCTCGTGCTGACGAGTCGGAACAAAAGGGTACAAAGGGCCCTGATGTCCGATCAAATACTCCGGGGGAAGCACCAGCTCCACGTCGAAGTAGCGATATTCTGGGTGGTACACCACATCATCGAAGATCAAAATTGGTAGCTCGATGCGCTCGTGAAAGCGGGCTGTCAAGGCCTCGGAGAAGTTCGAAGCCATTGAACCTTCCACAGGTATCATCACGGACTCATCCACTCCGAAGGTAACGTTGGCAACCGTGGCCTCATAGCTAGCAAACTCACCTCCATACATCATGCTGCTGCTCTTGGCCGTGCCATCGCGAGTGCGCACTATCACGGTGATGGGCCTGGCAAATTCCGGACGAAGCGCGTAAATGCTTCGCTGCACCACCAACGTCACATTCCCCTGGTCCTTGTAGACGTGGTACACAGGGGAACTAAACTCGATGGGACCATCGGAGACGCAGCGAGCTGTGGGGTCCTCACCGAAGGCAACTGGCTCGAGGACAAAGAGCGGGTCGCAGTGAGTGCAGCGCAAAACGACCTTGCCATCCGGACCCGTGGGTTCTGGGCCACAAAGCTGGCAATGCGGAAAGACATTGGAGCATCGCTCGCAACGGTCGATTGCAGTGTCGACGAAGAACCCTGGCTCACAGCGCAAGCACCTGGGGTTTGGTTCTTCCTATTTTTGACCCTCGTCCAGGAGGTTCCAGAAAACACTTCCCCGGATATCCAGATCCTAACAAAAACGGAACCTACCTATAACCACTTTCGCGATAGGTGTTTTGAACCACTACCGCCTGCCATTTGGTGGTGGCTCACACTCGAGGCAGCGTGGGTCAATGACAACTGAGCATTCCGGGACTGTGCACTGCGCAGCATTGGATGAATTGTACTGGCGATCCCAAAATGACAGGAAAGAGAGACGGGAGTCGGCTTTAACATAGGTGCCTGCAGTCTCCTGCGAGACATCCTGTCCACGCGACCAGAACGGGATGATGTCGAAGCCCGTCTGATTGATGGGTAGGTAAGGCTTCCAACCAGGTTCGCATTCACATTCGAAGGGCTTAATGCAAGTGCCATGAACGCACTCTGGTGAGGGTACTGGCCAGCTTTGGCACAAAGGGTAGTCGCAGAGTCGTCCTCCCCAGCCCTCTGCACAGCGGCATATGTCTGGTGACACGGCATCGCCGTTGACGCAGGCTGGTTCTGACACTGGGACCTCGCAGGAGGTGCCGCCCCAACCATAGAAACACTCGCAGACATCCGGCAGTACGCAGGTGCCCTGCCCTGGCACACACTCCGGCGTGCAAATGGCATGCTGGCACGCCTCTCCTTTCCAACCTGCTTCGCAGTGGCAAAGGTCTGGTGCTATGCAAGTCCCGTGCACACAGCGCGGCCAGCAGAGAGGGTCACGGCAGCGCCAGCCGCCCCAGCCTGTGTCACAGGAGCAGCAACCACCTTTGGCGGCGCGTGCTTCCTGAATGCAGTTCATCATATATGGAAAACATGGTTCATCATTATCGGTTGTACTCGTCTCGCACAAATCATATATTGCAGCAATCGAGGGGAGCATGTTGGTCTCGGGGTTAGCAGTGATGAAGCCGTTGTCGATGGCTTCGGTGCAGCACATGCGTGTGAAGCAATCATCCTTTGTGAGGTGGCAGCCGTTTTGGGCTTCCACATCTTGGAGGGTACAAGTGAGCGTTTGGTTGCCACACTGCGGCCCTGCATTGATGGAATTGCCATGCACGCGGTCGTCCAGCATGCACTGCTGCAAAGCACCGGCGACTTCCAGCTTTGACATGTAGCAACGCGATGTGGATTTGATCTGCCCAAATGCACACCATTGCCTAACTGGAGAGAGAACGGCTTCGTCGTCCAAGCACCAATACAATGCCTCTTCACCGCAGAAGTACTCGCACTCGTTTCCCACACGCACAGCTGGTGGCCGCTCGTAAAGGTCCGGCTCTTCAGCGCAGTTGGTCTGGCATGTGGAAAGGCAGCAGTCACCTCCATCGAATTGGCAATTCTCGGAGTCGTGATTGTTCGACAAGTCACATCTGCCGTCGCCCTTCCAATCGAAAATGCAGCGGCTCGTGTTGGCGAGGCCAGCAGAAATTATGAAATCGAGATTGAATCCATGGGCAGGCGTCGCCAGAGCACAAAGGTCTTCGGCTGCCGTGAAGTCATAGATTCGGACGTAATCCAAATTCACACACAGGCTGCTGTCACCAAGAAATTGTGAGCACGGCCTCGGATATGCACAAATCTCCGTAAGGTTGGGCGCATTTTGCGCTCCCACGGAGAGCCACAGGAGCCAAAGCGCTTGGCACCATGTCATGGCCCATGTTCACAGGCACAAGTCAGATTATGAGATGATGACAATCAACAACCATCTCATTCTTTTGCGTTTCCGTTGGAGTGCTGTTCTTGTTCACAAAGTTTGCGATCACCAAAGGCTGAGAGTAAACTTTCCGGCTGAACTAGCAACATGGAACCTATATTTGAGCCGAAGCTGTGGGCTGATGTATTGAGAGGGTGCAGCTGCAGTTTTCAAGTTCTGTCACAGTGAACCATTGCATCCATTCCTTGCCAAGTATGCCAAGTATGAGTCAACATCGAATGCTGCAGCTTTTGTTCGGTCCGAGACAGGAATGTGCAAGCACACATGTCTTACCATCAGGAATGGGGGGATCGGGGATCATCCTCGGGGGCAACCCAATTGAAAAGGTTATCTTCGCGTGTTCAGGCGGGAGCACCACCAATATCCAAAGCAGGGAATCCATGAACTTGGGCGCACTCTTTTCCAGGCTGAAACGATAGCATACATTGAAAGCTAGGCTAGGCATTTACCTGCGGGATTCCGCTCACCTCTCCTGGACGGTACCCGGCTACGCTTGAACAGCACATCATAAGGCGAATCAAGACTGAAGCTGTTCCACGAGCCCTGTCCTCTGATATGAACTGCACGTACGGCGGTGTCGGCTCTTGTGGCTTCAAGCCGTCCCTGCAAAGAGGCGAGGTCCAAGTTAGCCAGAGTTTAGGGCCTAGCGGCGTGCACGGTGGTCATGAGAGAAGGTATCATGTCGTGTGTCAGATATCATGTTCGGCCTCAGGGCTTCGAGGGATGTTTGATGATTCCGGTGCACGGGATCCTGCACTCAACAGGTGAGATTGCGTGTAGGTGACCTGACATCTCAGAACTGCATCGACTGACTGGGTCCTTGGTGACTTTCATCAGCTTTTCATGCATGCTGGCCTCAGAGACGACGCAAAACAGCAGCTCATCGAGCGTTTAGACTCCAAACTTCCGGATCCACAAGCCGCTGCCGCTGCAGACACGGGGCCGCTTTCGCGAAGGCCTCCTTAGCGACCGCGGCTAGCATCCCTTCTTAAACCGATTCTTCTGAGTTTCGCGACTGCCACGCAGTTGTTGCTCAGATGATCTAGAATCTGTAAAGAGCCAAGAGCTTGCCGGGATTCCTTGCAGTCCTTGATCTCCTGAATTCCCAGGCTTCTCACCGAGCTTTGGCTCAGGCCAGCTGTGCTGGCACTGACGCCATGCCTCTCAAAAGGCACATGGGCTTGGTCGTTCGAGCCCGACAAACGGCCAGCTCTTTCACGAACACTTGCACCTGCAAAGTGCGACCATGTGGTAGTTCCGGCTCCAAGAGTTGACGCCAATTGCCACCCTAGTTGGTGCAGACTCGATCCTGTCGTCGCCTTGGCCAGATCAATAACCCTATACTCTGCTCTTTACACTGCTGGCGGAGACCACGGCCCAATAACTGAGCAGGAGGTCCAGGCCATGCTGGAAGCATCTGGAAGAACTAAGACCGAGACTCAGAAGGTCGCGCAAGCTTTTGTATGCTTTTTGCTGTACTTTGCCGACGTTGGAGTTGAAGAGTATTCTCAGTTTCCCCAGCCAGTGCTCAGGAATATCTCTGTCATCCACCACACCTGAGTAAGTTGCTGTGGTCACTTTGTGATGCAGGTATCGCAGAACTTGCAACGGAGCTACGGACAAGGGCGCCCTTCTTTCGAATATCAGCAGCACGCTGATCCAGAAGCTCCTGGCACGACTTACTCGGAAATTGGTCTTCTGATTTCTGGCAGCTGAACCCTCGAGGACACGGAACTCGCTCAAGGCTGCCGAGGTTCTATCACTTCTTGGAACTCTTCCTCCTGGGCACCACCCGGATCACTGAACCTGAAGCCGGGTGATCAACTGTTGCTTTGCAAGTCCGGCGCAGCTGATTGAACCTAGAACATTTCACTTCGCTGAGATGCTTCGACGAAATTGAAACCATTTGTGTGGGGCTTCTTATATGGTCATTCTTACTCATTACTGGCGCCTGGCTCGCAGAACCGAACAGAACCACGCGAGCCGACTCCCGACTCTTTGAATTGCAGATCAAAGCCACATGACGACGACCTCCCGGCCACGCACGCGTGATAGAAGGCCGGCAAAAAGACCCATGCGGAATGCAGACACCTTCCTGAGGCAGTCTTGGGCTTGAGATGGTTCCTTTATCGAAACTGTCTGTCATGTCGAAGGCTTAGGACCCTTAAGCCATCTTAAGCCCTACACTCCCGAAGACCCAAGGCCAAGAAGACCTTCGTGGATCTACCGTGCCGACATTGGGCACACTCTGCCTCAACAGTACCGTGAAGGCCTTCTCTGACTACATCTCGGTACACTCGTTTCTGTCTAAATGCTTATTTTCGCTGGAAAACCAATCCACAGCTACTGATTTGTAGTCCAACGACCTAGAGGGATTGAGGGCGATGTGGGGCCAGTTGGCCTCCCAAAACAAGAAGGAACCCCGGACCCTCCAAGGGCAGGGGCGGGGAAGTCACGACTGCGCTGCCCCGATCGCTACGCCAAGCTGCTGCAGCATTTCCGACGTCATGATCTTCCCTATGTCCGTGGACAAAGCTGCCAGAGGTACCTGCAGCATGCAGTAAGCAAAAGCGCACGGGCAAAAACAAATTATGCTTGTCGGGCATGGGATCATCAAGCAGGCCCTTGAGGCTGTATCGATATCGATGGCTTCAGACAGGAAGCGCCCAGTTAGCACCTGTTTCTAAGGGTCTCAAGCTAGCCGTAGCCACTCTTGCGTGCCGAGATGCGATGAAGGAGACGATGTCCAAGCACTCGTCCCGCAGACTCACGTGGAAGCTCGTGCCCTCTCCAGAAAAATGTACAAGCAAGGTCCATTTGACTATAATGCTTCGATGGAGGCACACGAAAGCATTGCGACAACGAGAGCTGGACTTGCCGTCACGACTTATCGTGCAAGCGCCTCCGTCAAGTAGTTAAGCAAAGGGTTGCCAACCCAGTAGACCAGCAGCAATCCAAACGCGTCACACTTGGCGCGATGGAGCGATCCATACTTGTCATAGATGATGCCTACCAGAATTCCTTGCTGGCATGCCCAACATGTCAACAAGGAGTTGCTCAAACAAACGATCGCAGAACGCCCTGCACTGCGTTCCGAGGTACCGTACAGAACCTCGGGAGCGGGGAAGACAGAAGTTGAATCCTAATTACGCAAACTCTCTTGGCTAGCTGCAGGACCTGTTCTCTTGCCTGGCTGACGGATTAGACACCCTGACGTCAAGCCCCAACAGAGCAAATGCCAGTCACTAAACAATCATCTTCGACCCGTGATTCCTTCTTTCGCCCAACTTCAACCGCGTTGGCGCAACCTCGCGTCTCGAGACTGGGTGAACCACCTAATGCTAGACTCTAGACTCGACGAATCCTTCCAAGGTTTGAGAACATTACCGCACGGCCTCATGTTCTAGTGTTCTTTCATAAGCGCCCTCGATTTTCACAGAAACCGTCCGTCGTACATCTGCTGCTGGCGTTGCTCGCATGCCACTGAACGTCGCGCGCTTTAGGGAGCTTCGGATGGCAGCAGTAGAGGGATCCACGCCTTTCAGGTGGCCCCTTCCCAGCAGAAAGAAGCTACCGGCCGTTCATCCCAGGGTTCCCCGACGGATACATCCACGGTGTAGTGCCGCATTCCAGACCCGGATCCGGCAGGCCCGGACTCCCCCGACTCGCAGTCGCAAACTATGCGGGCACCTTCCGGCAGCCACATGGCGTGCTCTAACAACTTTACATAGGTTGTGGACCAAGTTGTTGCAGAAGACAGGGTGTCAATCTCGGTGAGCTCGTCCAGCTGCACATGCAGATGGAAGTGAAGGCCATCGAACTCGCCCTCTTTCTCGGTTATGAAGACCACTCGGCTACGACAGGTATGCTCCAGCGTTGCCAAACCTTCAACCGAAAATTCCAGAAACTCGAAGAAACGCGGCCTTGCCATCAGCCTGGCGGCATCAAAGCCCCTCGCATGGTATTTTGTTTGTACTTGGATTCTACTTTCAGCATTGAAGAAGCAGTGAAGCACTTTCTCCAGAGAACTTGCTTCCAATTTGCTTGTCGGCGCGAAAAGCGTACCTGCAGAACTCGGAATGAAGGCGCAGCGCTCCGTGCAGAGACCACGGCGTCGCAAAGCTTGAAGGGTCTCAGCCACGCCCTCTGCACTGGCGATGTGGCCAAGCAGCTCATGCACGATGAGATCGTAAGGGCCCTGCAAGTGTAGGCTCTGCAGAGAGCCCGAATACAAGCGCAGCCGAGAAGAGACCGCTGGGTTTCGCACTGAGACCGTATAACAAGGTGCGGTTGGCGCTGAGTCGAGCTGCCTAGTCTCGGCTTCCAAGGATGAAAGCGATGCATCGGGCTCGGCCAATGGCGGTATGTCCGGGAGGGAGGTGCAGAGCTCTTCATCCGGCTGCATACCGTCTATCAGATTCTGGCTCTGGTTCCTCACCGTGACCTCATGGTGCAACAGCTTGGTGGCATGAGCGACGGCCTTGGGATTCACCTCCACCGCATCCACGTGCGAAGCACCAGAGCGCAGAGCCATTCGAGCTAGCAAACAGAAGGCACCTGTGCCAACATCCAGCACAGACTTCCCTTGCGCGCGACGGGAGATGGCAGACCTGAAAGCCGAGACTCTCACCTTGTCCGATACCATGTCAATGTGGTTTTCTAGGCTGTAGTCGCCATTGTGTCCATCCACGTCTCGCCCATGACGTGTCGTTGCTTGAAGCACGCAGCATCCAATGTCTCGTGCGATTTCTGCTGGCTCGCAGGTCGAATCACACAAAGAGTTCAGCTCCTGCCTTATGACACCTTTCCTTCGAAGCTGCATCTCTTTCATCTTGTGCTTCACTTCGCCGTCTGTAGAAGTGCCTGCAAGACTTGACACCATCTCGTGCTCAATGCACACCATTTGTTGGTAGAGCCTCTGCAGCCGGTCTGTGGCGCTGCACAGCAGATTCAGGTTATGCTGCAATTGCGGTTCCTGAGCGGTTTCCTGCAGCCTTCGTCGCTTCGTCTCCATGCGACCCACGAGGGAAGTGAATGCAAAAAAGATCTTGCTCCGACACCCAAGCAGAGATCTCAAGCCCCAGCAATCCAAATGAATTGATTGTGGCCACGCATTGAACGCATGCTACCTGTTCGCCACACCCTAATCGGCGACAAATCACATGGTTGCGACATTCACTTGTTGATGGCCGGGCGATCTACAATACAAACCGTTCATGCATTGGTCAAGTTACTGTATTCCGATATTGGCCATATACGAACAACACGTTCTGGTCGACGAGTTCGACTTCGCCTGGCTGCCTGCACCCTAACAGTGCCTGTATGGTTGGAAACTTGAAAACAACATCCCTCGAGAAATTCCCCACTCCATTCATTACGATGGCCTCTTGGGAAACGGTACAGTAGAAACATGAGGGCATGGCTGGGAGAGATTGGGGCTCCGTGAACACCACGGTTAGCGAGCAGGTATCGATACAGCACATGGGAGCTGTAGTTTGCATGTGTAACTGCCATTACACTCCATGCTGTCGGCCCTCGCATACCGAACCGATAGACGGTAGACGTCCCTGTCGCCAAATGCGCCCAGCAGCAGTCACTCCCAAGAACAAGTACAACTCCGGCTGCAGGCCCCATCCGGCAAAGAGGCCGCTGTGACAGGCGCAGCTGCCTGAGACATCTGCACTGCATCCGCAGATCCGGGGGCTGGTCTCCAAGAATCTTAAGCCTGCTGGTCTGAAGCGGCCTGTGCAAGCCTCCGGCGTGCAGGTCATCATGCTCTCCTCCATTGACCAAGGCCAATGTATCGAGCCCCCCTTCGCCAGAGATGGAACCTTCCAAGCACAAAGCAGGCCGGGCGCCCCATCTGGGTCTGGGACAAGAAGTTGCCCACTGTTTGGCCTTTGGCCAGCACTGGCTCACGTCGCAGTCGGCATTTACAGCTCGTGGCAACCACAGAAGGTCCTGGCCAAGCTGACGTCATGAAGGCTGGGGACTCAACGAGATTCTGGACACGCAACCAACCATCCACTCAGCCCCCTGACTGACGCCAGGTTTAGCACCAGCTGCAAAATAATTCCAGCTCGACCCCTCAAAAAAGGCAAGCACCAAGCTGGCAAACGTTGATGCCTTGCCGCGACTGGCCGTGAGGCTTAGTAGCGGCACCTCAGAACTCAAGAAACGTGCGCCGTCGGCGCAGGACCCGAGCTTTTGGAATGCGATGGAGAGCTCGGGGCCAGGCAGCAAGGAGAATGAAAGCTGCACTCCCAGCATCAAAGCCTGAGGTACTAAAGCCATAGCCCCGCAGCTCCGCAGCTTACTGATGTGGGACTTGCCACACGTTGCTAGGGTTGCTTTCGACAGGGATCTGCCAGAGAATGCCGCAGCTGTTTGGCATCTGGCCAGTCTGGTCAAGAAGCGAACTTTGTTCATGTAGAAGTCCACATCGCGATTGGCCTCGAACACTTCACCAGGTCCATGCTTCTACAGCACTTTGCAAACAGCAGAACAGACAGGAGCCGACCCAGCTTGCTGCCAAGTTTCTTCGTAGATGCCCTGTGACACTAATGCCTGAAGCACAGCAACGCGTGACCTAGAACGACAACGTGCAATGAAGCAAGCCAAAACCAACCATCGGTGCAATCCTAAGCCGTGCTCCGTAGTTTTCACTGCCGATACAACATGCTACGATCTGAACAAACCTGGATCTAACTTCCGACCGGCCCGCGAGCCTGGATTGCCGCCGTGCAAGCACCGAGAATGCACAAAATGAGCGGGAAGGAGTTGGACATTGCCTTTGCACCAGGCTCTATTGGAATACCGGTGTCTGTCGTTTTAACAAGCATGTCGAACACAACCTTCTGCAGCATGCCGCACCCTACTTGAAGCGCGCGCCTTCGCCAATCCCTCCTCGTAGTCATAAATCCTCAGTCAACAGGGTTGCAGCCTTTCTCTGCAATGTTTGACATGCTGCAAATTGAACTGTCGGTACGCCAATCTGCTGAGCTTGAGTTCCGATTTTGGCAAAGCCAAAGAAACATCGTTTGCTGCCCAAGCGTCTGGAGATAGAGGAATGCGAAGGTGCCGAGCGTAAGGATGGTAACGGCAAACCATTCTATCGTCTTCCTGCAGTCACACTCCGTCAAGCAGCAGGCGAGAACTCGGAAGCATCCTGCGGCCTGCGCTTCTTCAGGATCAGCCGCTCCCCAACAGCTAGAACAGGGGTGTAGACCTGCGCAGCAGCCATGCTTGGCTATGGAACATACGGCCATGACACCATGCATGTTCACATGCCTTTCCCAGCACTGCGGACATTGCCGGGGAAAGACCGAAGGCAAAGGCCATGTTGCCTCACTGCGAAAAGCCAGACACGGGGGGGGCAACAAGGAAGACACCCTTCTTGAAGCATTATGGAACCCTGATGGGGGAACCGGGGAACCCTTACAGAACAATTGTTTCGCAAGGCAGGCAAGGGGAAAATGTTGCAGAACTTCCAGCGAAGTCTCTGAGGCACATGGTCGCCTCGGAACAGATCCCACAGTTGCGAGCAGCCTACTCTTGCCCCTCTGCCTTGTGCCACGACAGCGCTTAGGTTTGGAATTCTTGCCGAGCATCTGCTTGTAAGACCGACGAGCCCGAATACTCCAAGATTTTTCGGAAATTCCAGGCTTGCAGGAGGCCCTTTTGAGGCCTCCAGTCAGATGAAGCGGATGCAGACCAAAAAAAGTCGAGAGGCGATGCTTGACTTTAAAGAAGCACGGCAAGCGAAATCTCGAAGTCCCCACCCCAGAATTCACGCCAAGGGGCTTCTCCACGGCACTCTCCTGCGAGACTGAAAGAGCTGAGGACCTAACGTCTCCCAAGCCAGCCCATCCCCGAGAGCTGTATCCTCCCAAACGGGACTCCGATGTTGTGAATTTGTTCATCTTCGTTTCGCCGTCAGGAGATGCTTATGTTGTGCATAACATCATGCCGACAAATTATGGTCTCTCGTACGGAGCCTCTGTAATCAAGGGCACTTGCTTCCTCATGTTGCGACTGCGGTCGAAACAAGCCCACCCTTACACCTGGTCAACCGTAAAAACAGTGACATGGCTAGGGCTGTTAGTTTGATTCCAAGGTTGAGATTTGAGCTTGCCGCGTTTGGCGCTTCTGCGTCCCCTGGCGGTGTTCTTTCCCTCCCACCTGGCTAGGACGAACCTACGATGCAGGGGTGGCGGTGTCGAGGCACATGGGTCCTCATCCGAGTGCCGCGAGCAGCCCAGTCCATGTGCATGCCAGGTCATCAGTGAAGCGAAGATAAGTCCTCTTTAGGACGGCAGGGCTTCATGCCACTGGAGGTGGAGTTCTTTGGTCTTTAGTCTGCAAAACTCAGTTGGGATCCAAGCCCCAGTCCCTTGCGAGAACCGTTGGTCCATCGTTCCCTGGTTCTGTCCTACGAGGAAAGACAGGAAGGACATGGAGTTCACGTTGATCTGTGAGCCTTAGCTGCTCAGGAAGTCCTCATGCCTTATGGCGGGATGAAAATGCGGACAAATGTGCTGCCAAGTCACTTGAAAGTGCATAGGAGTTGAGGAGTGTTTTCAATGTATCAGTCGCTGCATAAGCCTTATACAGGATGCCAATTCACGTCGCTCAAAGCAGTTCCTACTTCGCACTCGGAGGGCGGGGCGCCGGTATGAGCCGGCGGTGCGATTTCTGCGGGTGTTCTCATTTGTGGCAGTCCTGATGGTTTGGCAGAGCTCGACTTGAATGGAGCTCTGTCTTTCTCCTTCTTTCACGAGGCTTTAGGCGCCTTCTCTCTCTTGCAGTCAGTCTCGAAGCGTCAGCTGAGTTCATGCGGGCGAGCAGGCAACTATGTGGCCCTCAATGACTCTGGTCCCCCAGTGGATTTAAGTGCCAATTATGCTCATAATTCGATGCCGGGGCCAAGGCCAGGGAAATCACCAGCATCTGCGTGTCCATGCCTGAACTAGAGCTTTGCTCCTCTTCCTCTTCTTCCTCGAGACACTTGCGAGAAATTTCCAGAAAGAACCACTGCTCTTCCATCTTGACCCGTTCATCCTGTAGCCTTGCACCGGTCCTTATGCAGGTGATGCAGCTCATCCTCCTTGTCGTAGCCACCTCATGTATGCGAATTGCACAGGGACGTGCGGGAACCAGAGAACAGCAAATTCGGAGAGGATGTGAGCATCCAAGCGACAAACTAGCCACGGGCTGCCAGATGAGAGCTCGTCTGCTGAGAGGGGATCACTCGACATGCATACACCATGCCAAAGCTTGTCAGACATCGAGTCGATCTCATTCGTTTGCGCACTTGCGGCAGCGGCCCAGTCCTCCTGCGAATTGCAGCTCGCTTGCAGTCCTGTTTTTTCCCTCCGTGGCAGGCTGCAGCTGAAGCCAAATTATCGGGTGCTGGCCTGTCCGACAACAACTTTCCGCGCGTCAACGACACCCATTTTTCTTTCGTCCTCATATACTTCAGCGGTCCTTCGACGGTCAAAATTGTTTCGGCGCATGCAGCAGGGCTTCATTTACAAGTGCTTCGCGAAAAGAGCATCCTCCTCATAAGAGACGCCATCCATGCGATGATCAGCAGCATCAAGGATGGCCCAAGACGAACGCCGAAGTTGTGCCTTAGCAGTGAAAATGTTCCTGCGAAATCCGCGCTGGCTGCTGCAATGTGCTAAGTGCAAGTACCGTCCGCGATCATTATGCTAGGCGCATGTTTTTGGCATTTCAATGCTTTACATTTGCATCTGCTGCAGGCTTCCTCGTGTGCAAGGCACCACCCACCAACATGTGATTGAAAAGGGGCAGAACCAACATTACAAGCACACAAGCACAAAATGAAAACACGAAGCAACTGTCAGAATGCAGGAAGCACCAAGCCGTGCCTGTGGGTGAGAAGCAGAAGCAGAATCACCAGCAAAGAAGCACGAAGGAACACTCACGATTCTTCACAAGAAGCCTCGGAGCCAGAAACCTCAAATTGGGCCCCGCCCAGTCGTGTTCTTGCTTAAGAAGTGGTTTGAGCAGCCCGCAGCACAACTTCAAGTCCATTACTTCATGCCGGGACTCTCATCAGCGGAGAGCGGATCCTGTGCAAAGTACAAAATGTGTTCAGCTTCTCTGTATGCCCTCCCAGCAGAGGGGATCAGTTGCGTGAACCATCCATCGTGTATCCTTGATGAATATTGCTGTCGTCGCGGCAAGTTGGCCAAACATGACCCAAACCTCGGGAATGCTGATTCCATGTGCTTTTCCTGAGGAGGTCCTCATATGTCAACACTTCTAGCTTCTGCAAAGTCAGCATCGATAGTGCTGCGCAGCCACGGTGGTGCTCAGCTGCTTGACCATGAGGCCGCTCAGCCAGAACCAAGCAGCCAGAACTGCTACCAGCGCATAGTCTTCTGCTGCCCAGGTGCCCCAAAACCTCGCATGTTCTGACGGGGCGGAGACGGAATGGTCTAGCTGTTCCTGGTTTTGTTTCGGCGCCGTTTGTATCATGCTGGACCACCCTGCCGAAGCAGCACTACCGTGCGAAACACGACAGAGGTGGTAAGGCCCATCCTCTCTCCCGCCAACATGTGCCAAGCTTCGTTGAGGAGTTCAGCCTTAGCAACGGCACTGGTACGACCACAAGCCCTCTAAATGCTGCCATGCTACAATAAAGTATGTAACTATGTATGTAGTGTATGTACGCATCATGGATGTACATATGTATGTATGTATGCATGCATCAATAGGTGTATGCAGACAGAGGCATGCAGGATCACACGCAGGCACACAGGCAAGCAACCGACAAGCAGATGCACACATTTCTGGTACCGCGTCGCCGCGTCAATGTCGCCCCCGCCCATCCCTACCATGGTATGGTCTGCTGGCGAAGCAAGAATCAGCGCGAAAGTGCCGATTTGGGGCCTCACAAATGCTGAGAGTACCGTGGATCTAGTGGGCCTCGAATCCTCAAAGGTATTCTCGTGTCGACTCTCGCAACTCGCACAAGGCAGGCAAGGATCCACACACAAGTCGAAGTAAGACATGGCAGCGCGTACATACGAGTGCTTTCGAGTTCACGCAAACACCGAACCAAACAATCGAACCAAAACAAGCCCTCTGCAAACCGCTTGTGACCAGCCAATCACCATCAGCTTTGACAGTTCTCAACCTCTTCTTTCAAAAATGCACAACAAGCCCTCCGACAAGCGTATTTCTCAACCCCATCAAAGCAAGCCAAACCCAACTCAACGAAAAGAACACAAAGTTTCTGCCGTCAGGGGCTCGCGACAAGCTACATCGACCACTGCAGCAAAAGACAAAATCAGCCAGTCACTCACAACACGCATCGACCGACACCTATCCATTCAGCTTCACTGTTGCAAAGCTTCTCAGGAACACGTGTGCAACACAGCAAGGTCGCAACGACAACTATTCTCGTGCAGGCATCCTGATCTCAGATATCACTGCGGGTGGTTTTCTGTTTCGATTCTCGCGGCCGTTGAAAACCATGCACATAAAAATGAGGGGGCAATCCGAAAGAAGAACAAACCCGCCCACATCCAGAGGGGGAGAGGAGATTGCAGCCAAAAGAACAGAAGGAATTGGCGGCCCAAAGCCGCACCTCCCACAGGCCGCGGGCGGGCCCGGGCCCGGGGGTACCACACCATGTGAGGGGCGGCCTTGGCGTCGGGGCGCCATGAATGTGTCCGCGTTCTGCCTTCCCAGTTTCCCTCAGTATCTCCCCGAGGTGTCAACCGTAATGCCACCGCCCCTGCCTTGGCATGCCCTGTCCCTCCCCGAAATTCTACTCCCCTTCCAAACCCCATGTGAAGCCGTATGGCTCCACAGAGGGGAGGGGAGATTTGTCAACCTGGTTGTGCCAGGTACCCTCCCCGCTTGAAACATGTGAAGAAGGCGGCGTGATGCTCGACGTGCGGGGGGCCCGCGGCCCGTGAATGCTGGCATGATTTGTCGTTACATAATGTGCACGCAGCGGCAGGTACTCTTTATGTAGTTATATACACATACATACATGCATGCATACATACATATGCACATAGACATATATAATTTTATATATATATATATATATATATATGTGTGTGTGTGTGTGTGCCTGTGTGTCTGTTGGGTGTGTTCCATACATACACCGGCAACGTGGCTACACAAGTGCATACAGACACACATTATCGTGTAGAGCTATGTAAAGGTGCATGTTCGCTCTTCCGTGGATATTTTGACACTCACTCCCGTGGTTATTTACCCCTCTCAACAAGAACGGGTTAACCTCCAGGGAACATCATCATCTACATTTCTGTATGAATCTCCGGGATCTTTGGAAGTAGCATAATTCTTTTCGACGCCACAGATGAAGCTGGATGAGCTTCGCAGCCAAGTGTCTGAAACTTTGTGGCCTCATCTGTGATTTGATCTGCCAGCAGCCAACCCAACATAGCGACGCAACAGGCCGCGAAGTCCATGTTGATTTTGAGAACCGCATAATAATCCTGACGAGGCATAACCATCCAGTCAGTGTCCACGCTTGAGGCTTTCCATCTTCCCATCCAAGCACTGTACTGCTGTCATCGAAGCAACTAGCCTCCAGAAGCCTGTGCCTAGACAAGTTCGGCATCCTGCTGATGCTCATGAGTTGGTGATGCAATGCAACAACTGCAAAAAGGAACTACGATGCGGGTCAGCTTCCCGAACGTGCCTTCCAGGTGTGAAACAAGCGCTCGAGCAGGATTGACGCGAAGATCCGCAGACTGATCGCGGCCTGGTGAATGGGATGGTAGACTGTCGGATGGTAAGCCTAACAAACTGCAAATGATTGTGACAGCAGTGAATGTCACCGACAAACAAAACCCACAGGGAGGCCGGGCGGAGCAGAAAGCCAGTGCATGCCATAGGGACATATCGATGCCGCCGAGGTGCGAAGGCAATGCCGGCTCCAGCAAAGTCCGCGTTCGATTGTATCCAAAGCACAGCCTGCGAACAGAGACGGCGTGGCAACACTAAACCGTCAGCCATCTGAAGTACCAGAATGCAGAATGCGAGGCAGCAAATAGGAATAGCATGGAATTGCCGTCGGTGCAGTTCGCTGTGGACCAGTTTATTGCATTTTGTCACTTGGTGGTTGTTTTCAATGCGTTTGTTGGTTGCCCCCGAGGCGCCAAGTACTTATCAATCTTCCCCCAGCCTTGATTCGCAGTAGATCTTCATGTTCCGTGCTGCATGGATGGAGGAGATGCCCCCGCTGCCCTCAAACCCACCCGCCCTGCCCCAGCCCCTGTCCCGCCCGCAACACATGTCACGGAGGTTTGCTTGCTAGGGTACCAAGCAAGAACGATATCACAGAATATTACGATTGCTACTGCTGCTGCTGTTGTTACTATGTAATAGATGTAATAGTATTGCTCGTCGTGCTCTTGCTGCTGTTCGCATCGTTACTGCTAGGAATGAAGCTTTTTGCGCTCGTGCTCCCCGCCCTGTTTTGCCTCCCACCTGTTCTGCGCTCCTTCCCTCGCCCGCCTCCCAATCCCGGGGACCCCCCCCCCCGGCCGGGCCCCAGGAGGCTCCGAGCCCCGGCTGCAGACGACAAGCAGCAAACAAAGGCTCAATCCACTGTCGCCTGCCGTGAGCCACAGCGAATGTCGGAGTATGCCGGGCACTCGGAGTAACGCTCCCGGAGGGCGATGAATGTACACAAAGCGAACGTGATCCTGCAGAGTGCAGATCGCACAAGCACTGGCTCCAAAGGCTCTGATTCAGTTACTGATGTAGGCTGCAGCCCAGGTGCATGAGAAAGCAGAGCCACTGCCTGACTTCCAGTACTTTCCACACTCCGACCCGCATCGGCCAAAACGCAGCAACTTACAAACTACAACCGCTGTATGACTTGAACAAATGTCGAGCTGCATCGTGCCGTAGACACGGTTGAAGTATAGCCTGGAAGAAACATGTTTAAGGCAGCATCTGTGACAATAGTGCCGATTACAAAAAAAGAAGTCAGTCACTGCTTCTGGCTAAACCGTTGAAACTACCTACGCTAATTGCTAGGTCCTAGCACTGCGACCATATCTCGACTCAATGCAGCTGCACAAACATCACAACCCAGGGGCATGCTGAGAAAGGGAGCCAGAACAGTACCAGAATAGCTCGCAATGTTGGACCAAACTTTCGGCCCATGGCGAGTGGAGGCCTGACAGGCATGCCGACAGGAAGCAACTCACATCTTGATGCATTGCACTGACACTCTCTAATAAAGACGCCAGGCCACGCTGATCTGGAGCCAGAATGAAAACATGAACATAGCACCAAGCAGTCCGAAGTGCAGTATTCCTTGGCATGCAATAAGTGTAGCGGAAATGGGGGCAACATCGAAACTATGCAAGCGTGAGCCGGGAACAAGGAGGCGAGAGGCGCGAAAACATCCAGGTACGAGACAGCAAACACCCTGGCAAAACACAAAAGAAGAAAGATGGTTGCCATCTGGACTTTCAGGATGTTCTGCGGAGCTACATGCTGCTTCTGTAACCAAACAAACCCACTTCACGCTGAGGGATGTACAAAGTCCATTTGGAGCTGCATATGGCGGAACGAGCCCGACATGTTTCCCGACCCTTGGCGGCTTTATTGCGGGCTCCTGCTGGCAATCGCAAGCCATAGAATGACCGACAGAGGCGCAAGCGACGCAAAACTTCAACACCGACAAATGGCTAGCAAAACTTACGAAAATAGACGACAAACGAGGGCTTTGCTCTCACCGACCGGAAGATCTGAAACCACCCTGGCTGGCCAACCCGAAATCCCGAATTTAGCAGGCCGTTAGCGCGATATCTATGCAGACTTGCAGGAATGACATGGGTATGGGTATGATTTAGGTGCCAAGAGTCTGGTGCTCCACAGGACGCGGCGCATGAAGCGCCAGCTTCCTTCTTGGTGGAGCGATATCACCAGAGAAGCGAGCAGGCTGAGAACCTGGGCCTGGGTCCATTTCACTTTCACACAGGTGATGAATCTGTGCCACTCTGCACCGGCATCGTCGGCACTTTTGCGAGTTAAGACGCAAAGAATTGGACGCTGCAGACACTTGCACGTCCTTAGTCCATGCAGCAATGAAAGACCCCTACCAACACATACCGCAACAAACCGACACAGACGAATGCACGGCCATCACAAGTACAACAGTAGTCTGACCCTGACAGTAGCTGCTACAATGGCAGCAACAACCCCTGGCAATCGGATAAATTCCGTCGATGTATCGTCGATGCAAACATAGGGAACAAGCAATAGCAACTCGCCGCGAAGAGACCGCAACCATCACTAGAGCAGCCATGGAATATCGCATTATCATCAATGACAACGACCAAGACTAACAGCGAAACAGACACATGGCATGTCAATGATGCCAAGAGGAACAACTTCAAAAGACATAACCGAAGACTGGCCCTCCACGAGCCGTGCTGCTGAAAGTTCCGTTTCTTACACACACTTTGTTAGTTGTTAGAGCTCCCCCGGCCAGGTTCCCCGCAGCACATCGCACTCGTGGCGACATGCGCAAGGCTAAGTACGCACAATCCGAATTATCGTACGAGCTAATCATCTAATCTGTAGGATGCGCTGTCGCAGGAGCTGATGAAGCCATGATCCTGATAGATCGAGTCATGAAGCCGAAATCAAGCTGAAAGTTCATGAATCTGAAGAACAAACCTATTGCTCCGAGCCCCTGTAGCAAGATTTGCCCCTTGTGCTCCGATAGGGCCGCCGAATGCCAGGCTAAAGATCACACCGGGACGAGGGGAGTGAGGGTAAACTCCCCATGCGCACTTGCCAAGCCTACTGTACTGAGAATGCTAGTGATCCGGCCGAAGGTCCCACACCTCGCCGAAGATCAGACTTATAATTTTCTCTCATCAGGTATTCCAAGGCTTTCACGAGGGAGAAGATCCTTGCGGCTCAGCCCGGGTGTGATGTGCAAAAATCATTGGTTGATGCAAGAGCTGGCAAAGCAAAAAGCCAATTCACTGAGGACCGAACACGATGAGCATCATCGTTGAGGTCCTGTATCTTCGCTGATCCCAGAACCTCGCACCACAAGCTCTCTTGCAAGCGAGATGAGGGTGCAAGGTCAGCAGGAGCGATAAGGCTGAGGTTGCACAGCATCAACACCGAAGTCACAAAGCCAGCCTCTTCAGTCTGTCTATCGCATGCAGCTCCCCTCCATCATAGTGGTAATCCCCATCGCCTTCGCTCGCATCCCGTCTCCGAAAACATCCGGAAACACTCGGACATTTTGTGCATAGCAGGACTCCCTGCTGACAAGAGGCTCTCGGCGCCTTCTGTAGCTGAACTCAGGAGATCCTACAATGGTTCACGTCTGAGTCTCCCTGACCGTTCCCGCCTTTGATGTTGCCGTCTATGCCTGTCTCCCTACCTTCGTGCATCCTTTTGTCGGTCGGTCCTTCTTCCTCTTTGCTTTCGTCTATCGTTGTCTCACTGTCCGTCTTCGTCCGTCTCTCTCTCCGTCTCCATTGTCGTCCAGCTATCAATCGCCGTGTGTCGCCTCTGTCTGTCTCTGTGTCTGTCTCTCACGTCCATCCTGCTCTTTACCCGGGCTTGCACGGACCTTTTGCCTCATGGAACAAAGCCGCCACCCTCACATGCATTTGCACCAAGGGTATGAGAAAGGTGTCCTTCTGGTTCCGTCTCTAGCTCCAGTAGGGGACCCGACCAAGGCACCCTTCGCTCTCGATTGCTTGCTGCCGACACTCTATGACTCTCTGCTGCAGGCTGGTCGCCCCTGCCCCTGCGTGAGGGCTCTTGCGGGGTTGGTATGCATGTGGGTACGAGCAGCTGCGCGCGCGCTCTCCCTTGGCGCGTGCTTGTGGATTCGAGTCTCTCTGGTGTGAAGCTTCTGTCAATTTGTTTCTCGGGACGAGAGAGGCGCGCCTCCCTCATGCTCATAGGCATGCATGAGTCTGCGGGGACGGTGCAATCTGGTTTGTATGAGCGCACGCAGTCTGGCTTGAAGTTCCACCACCACGCTCATCTTGTCGTGGGATTGTCTCACACTTCCAGAGTCCGTTCGCTTCGACCTGCTCTGTGCGTGCGTGTGTGCGTGTGTGCGTGTGTGCGTGTGTGCGTGTGTGCGTGTGTGCGTGTGTGCGTGTGTGCGTGTGTGCGTGTGTGCGTGTGTGTGTGTGTGTGTGCGCGTGTGCGCGTATGCGCACGTGCGCGCGTGCGCGCGTGTGCGTGTGGGTGTGGGTGTGGGTGTGCGGGTGGGTGTGGGTGTGGGTGTGGGTGTGGGTGTGGGTGTGGGTGTGGGTGTGGGTGTGGGTGTGGGGGTGTGGGGGTGTGTGGGTGTGTGGGTGTGTGGGTGTGTGGGTGTGTGGGATTGTGTGTGTGTGTGGGTGTGTGGGTGTGTGGGTGTGTGGGTGTGTGGGTGTGTGGGTGTGTGTGTGTGGGTGTGTGGGTGTGTGGGTGTGTGGGTGTGTGGGTGTGTGGGTGTGTGGGTGTGTGGGTGTGTGGGTGTGTGGGTGTGTGGGTGTGTGGGTGTGTGGGTGTGTGGGTGTGTGGGTGTGTGGGTGTGTGGGTGTGTGGGTGTGTGGGTGTGTGTGTGTGTGTGTGTGTGTGTGTGTGTGTGTGTGTGTGTGGTGTGTGTGGTGTGTGTGTGTGTGTGTGTGTGTGTGTGTGTGTGTGTGTGTGTGTGTGTGTGTGTGTGTGTGTGTGTGTGTGTGTGTGTGTGTGTGTGTGTGTGTGTGTGTGTGTGTGTGTGTGTGTGTGTGTGTGTGTGTGTGTGTGTGTGTGTGTGTGTGTGTGTGTGTGTGTGTGTGTGTGTGTGTGTGTGTGTGTGTGTGTGTGTGTGTGTGTGTGTGTGTGTGTGTGTGTCCACCCCTGTTTCGAAGGGTAGGCAAATCTGAGTCGAATGAGCAGGGGGACGGAGGGGGTGCAGGGGAGCTCCGTCCAACGAAGCTCTCCCCTACACCCTAGGAAAACGTACCTGCTTTGCCTGCGCCTGGGCCCCGTCGTGGGCAGCTAGCGAGGCACTCTTGCCAGTCAAAGTTCTAGTTGCTGCCATGTTGATGAGCCTGGAGACCCCATGCTAGTCATGTTTGAAGGTTCTGACTTCTCCTGACTTATGCTGACTTCACAGACCTGCGACACATTGTGTCAAGTGTGATTCACAACGGCATTCCCTATGGGCGCCGTGTCTCCCAGAGGTAGCTCTGGCGGCTGACTTTCCCGATTGATTCTATAAGCATCGGATGACTTTCGCTGACTTTATATCCATGCTTGCAAGCTGACTTTCCCAGTGAATTCACCGACGTTTTCACCGAAACCTGAAAGCTGACTTCACCATTGATTTCTTTATTATGACAGTGACTTCACCGAGCTGACTTTCCCACTGACTTGTCGCAGGTCTTCGGCTGGAAGCGAAGTAGGAAAGCTGTGCGTTTGATAGCTACTGAGTATCCTGCTTTGCGTGTAGCAAGTGATCAGCCTGGTCCTTCTGTAGTTCATCAAAACCGTCAGCAAGTTCTGCAGCAAGACGTGCCGCCAGCAATCACGCTTCATGCGGATGGCACAGGTTTTAAGTTGTCATTTCGATCAGTGGCCGATTTTGCTGAATATTCAGCAATCATGTCGGCAAACTTGACTCATGTTCGAGGTCATAGGGACGTCTGTGCTGGCCTGAACAACTTGCTTGACATACAGCAGACTGTTGCAGAGCTTGTGTTTGTCCACCCCTGTTTCCAAGTTTCAAAGGGTAGGCAAATCTGAGTCGAACGAGCAGGGGTCTGTACGGCTGGAGTGATTGGTTTAGTACATGTGTTTGCTTGCTTGTGCGACTCGTAGACTGCAGTTTTCGCCACATGAGTGCGGTTTGCATATGTTGGAATGCGTAGACTCTGCAGTTTCGTGACATGAGTGCGGTTTGTATATGTTGGAATGCGTAGACTCTGCAGTTTCGTGACATGAGTGCGGCTCGCCAATGTTGGAATGCGTAGACTTCAGTTTCGTGTCATCAGTGCGGTTTGCCTATATTGGAATGCGTTGACTCTGCAGTTTCGTGACACATGAGTGCGGTTCGCCGATGTTGGAATGCGTAGACTCTGCAGTTTCGTGACATGAGTGCGGTTCGCTGATGTTGGAATGCGTAGATTTTGCAGTTTCGTGACATGAGTGCGGTTCGCCGATGTTGGAATGCGTAGACTCTGCAGATTTGTGACATGAGTGTAGTTTGCCCATGTTGGAATGCGTAGACTCTCTGACATGAGTGTGGTTCGCCTATGTTGGAATGCGTGGACTCTGCAGTTTCGTAGACTTTCTGCTTTGAGACGCTGCTGTCAATAAGTCCGGAAGGGCGTGTGTGTGTCAACCGGTGTTTCGAACGGCTACAATGAGCCCGGCAGAGCTTGTGTGTGTCCACCCCGGTTTCAAAGTTTCAAAGGGTCGGCAAATCTGAGTCGAACGAGCAGGGGTCTGTACGGCTGGAGTGATTGGTTTAGTACATGTGTTTGCTTGCTTGTGCGACTCGTAGACTGCAGTTTTCGCGACATGAGTGCGGTTTGCATATGTTGGAATGCGTAGACTCTGCAGTTTTGTGACATGAGTGCGGTTTGTATATGTTGGAATGCGTAGACTCTGCAGTTTCGTGACATGAGTGCGGCTCGCCAATGTTGGAATGCGTGTGCTTCAGTTTCGTGTCATCAGTGCGGTTCGCCTATGTTGGAATGCGTAAACTCTGGAGTTTAGTGACACATGAGTGCGGTTCGCTGATGTTGGAATGCGTAGACTCTGCAGTTTCGTGACATGAGTGCGGTTCGCTGATGTTGGAATGCGTAGATTTTGCAGTTTCGTGACATGAGTGCGGTTCGCCGATGTTGGAATGCGTAGACTCTGCAGATTTGTGACATGAGTGCGGTTTGCCTATGTTGGAATGTGTAGACTCTCTGACATGAGTGTGGTTCGCCTATGTTGGAATGCGTAGACTCTGCAGTTTCGTAGACTTTCTGCTCTGAGACGCTGCTGTCAATAAGTCCGGAAGGGCGTGTGTATGTCAACCGGTGTTTCGTAAAAGGGTAGGCAAATCTGAGTCGAACGAGCAGGGATCTGTGCGGCTGGAGTAATTGGCTCAGTACATGTGTTTGCTTGCTTGTGCGACTCGTAGACTGCAGTTTCGCGACATGAGTGCGGTTTGAGTACTGTGCAAGTGCAAGTTTGGCAAACGTTTTTCGTCTGTGGTGAATGCGTGCATGCCTACATGCGTTCGGAGTGCGCATCTCTCTGCTTTGCTGCATCGCAAGTGTTGTGCAAGTGCAAGAGTACGGCGTTTTGTCGTGTAGGAGTGAAGCTTCTGGAGCGAGCTGTGCCTCAGGGGTCGGAGGTTGAAGTTCTGTAGGTGCAAGTGACGTGCAAGTGACGTGCAAGGGACGTGCAAGTGATGTGCAAGGGAGGTGCAAGTGCCGTGCAAGTGACATGCAACAGTACAAGGTCCTATGTGTTTGCGAGAAGTTGTGCTGTGCAGACGGAGGTTTGTGCAAGCAAGGGACATGCAAGTGATGTGCGAGAGAAGGGCAATGGAAGTTTCTGAAGCAGTAGGGTTGTGCGAGAGATGCGCAAGCGCCCAGCAAGTGACGTGCAAGGGATGTGCAAGAGTTATGCAAGTGACATGCTTTGACGAGCAGTGCAACTGAGTGCGTGTCGTCGTGCACAAGGGATGTGCAAGTGCAGTGCAAGTGATCTGTAAGGTATGTGCAGGCAGTCAATGAGTGATGTGCGAGTGTTGTGTGTTCATGCTTTTGCTTGTGTCAGAAGCGAAGTCGAGAGTTTCTCTCATCCGCAAGTACACTTGACCAACGTGTTAGGCTGAAATTGCTGTTCACAACTTTGTGCGGTGGTTAGCAAATCTTGGATACCCATGTCATTTGTGCGAAGCTTTGATGAAACCGTAACAGTGCTTGAGTGTGACGTAGACAAGAGCACGGCGTTTTGTCGTGTAGGAGTGAAGCTTGTGGAGCGAGCTGTGCTTCAGGGGTCGGAGGCTGAAGTTCTGAAGGTGCAAGTGACGTGCAAGGGACGTGCAAGTGACATGCAACAGTACAAGGTCCTATGTGTTTGTGAGAGGTTGTGCTGTGCAGAGTCAATTGTTGCGGGTTTGCCTATGTTGCAATGCGTAGACTCTCTGACATGAGTGTGGTTCGCCTATGTTGGAATGCGTAGACTCTGCAGTTTCGTAGACTTTCTACTTTGAGACGCTGCTGTCAATAAGTCCCCTGTTTCAAAGAGTAGGCAAATCTGAGTCGAACGAGCAAGGGTCTGCACGGCTGGAGTGCTTGG